GCCCAGAGAGGAGGGGCCTCAACCCCCAGCCCCCTGTGTCCTCGGTGGCCCCCGACGTCTTGTTTGCTCCTCACGGAGCCCTGGGAAGGGGAAACACTGTGTCTGGTCTCCACCTGAGGGGACGGACGCCCAGAGAGGGGAAGCCGCTGCCCCAGAGCCAGACCCCAGGGACAGGTCCAGGGCTCAGAGCCCTGCGGGCTCCCCACGCTGCCGACAAGCCTCCTGCGGGAAGCAGCCCTGCCCAGCCCTGCCCAGCCCCTGTGCTGCCCGCTGAACCCGGGTTATGGCCCCGGGCGGCACCTGCTCCTCCCCAGCAGCTGCCCTCCTGCCCAGGGCAAAGGCTCCCCAGGGCCCGCAGGTCACCTGAAGGGAGGGCCCCTGGAATTCCTGTCCCCTCCCTCAGGGGCGAGTGTCATCAGGGGCTCCTGGCCAGGCCCTCCCCAGCCCGTGGGATTCCAGCCAAGCCCCACCCCGTCCCTTGACCTGGGCTGAGCCCTGACCACAGACCTGGGCCAGGCCCTGCCCGATGGCATAGCCCAGGACCTCAGGCCCAGCCTGCTCCCACCTGGGCTCAGCCCGCCCCTCCCTGTATCCTCATCTGGACCTGGACGCTGGAAGCTCCAGAGTGCCCAGGGCCAGTGGGGGCTGGCGGGTTTCTGGCCTGGGGTGGTCTGTTGGCAGCTTCCTCCCGTCACAGGTTCAGATCCTGGGATTCTGGGATCCCCAAGCCCCATGGGAATCGGCACAGACTTCAGGCCTCAGAGTGGGCCCCGGTCTGCAGGAGGGGAGGCCCCAGCCAGCCCCACACCGGCTGGACCAGGGTGCTCACCGGGAAGCTGACTACAGTGGACACATGCCCCCCAAACCAGAACCCTCCCCGCCCCACCCCAGGCAGGGCCCCACCTCACCCTCGGCCCAGCCGCCTTCCAGCCTCAGCCATGGCCGCCCCTCAGCGGGAGGCCTCCGCTCGGCCCTCTGCCAGGTTGCCAGGCACAGAGGCCCCACCTAGGGAAGCAGGTGCACCCCTCCCGCCCCGCCTGGGCCCGGGAAGCAAAGTCCAGAGGCGGAGGGAGAAAGACGACACCGGGTGGGGCTGAGGGCGGGCATCCTGCCCACTGCAACTGCCCCTTTGGCCAGGGGCCTCCAGCCACTGAGCTGCTGCTGCCCAGGTCCCCCGCCCACCCCACTCTGCTGAGGGCCGTCCCTGTGCCTGGGGCAGGCGGCGGCCCCTCTGCCGGCTCCGGCTGTGGATGGAGAGTCAGAGACTCACCCAGCCCCTGTCCGGGGGCCACGCCCCAGATGGGACCTTGGCTCTCCTCTCCTCCAGGAAGTGGACAAGGCACACTGCCGCTCTYCCAGGACTGTGGGACAGACCCTGTGGTCCTGTCCACACAAAGCCCGGGATGAGGGCTGGAGGCCCCGCTGCCAACTGGGCACCTCGAGGCCGGATGCTCCGTGGGAGCCAGAGAACCCAGGGGCCTCAGGTAGCCCGGATCCCAGGGGTAGGCTGGCCTCCTCGCCCAGCGCTGTCTGCGGGCTGGGCCCAGTGCAGAGGGCTCGGGCTTCAGGACCCTAGGCTGGGGCTCTGTCCTGAGCAGCCCTCGGGCTGGCCGAGGCCCCCCTGAATCTCGTCTCTCATCTCCTCATCCCTCCTTCCAGTACCCCCGGCTCTACATCTTGGGGGACTTAAAGTAGATGTGCTAGAGGGCCCAGCCCAGCCCAGGTGGCTGCCCGGAGGTGGCCCCCAGCTCACACAGCCCCTCTCCCGAGTGTCCCTCCTGTCCAAGGGCGGGCGGATCTGAACCCGGCACCCCGTCTCAGGTAGTCCTCTCCATGGTCCACGCACCGGGAAACAGGCCTCAGGGGGTAAAGAGTGGACACCCAGGGTGCGGGGCACACTGGACAGCAGACTCCCCACCTCCTGCTGGTGGATCAGGCCTGGCCTCTCCCTGGGACGGTGGGGAAACAAAGGCCCAGATACTTCTCCAACCTCATGGTGAGACGGAACTGGGGTCAGCATGGGAACCCGTCTGGCATGAAGACCCCTGGAGCGCCCCCTGCTGCTGCTGCATCCCCAGGGACCAGGGTGTCTGTGGGGACCCCCATCTCTGAGGGCCACGAGTCCAGCCAGGGGCCAGGGCAGGGTGGATGTGGGACTCCAGGGCCCCCCTGGAAACAGGAACGAGTCTGGCCACCCAGGAGCCGCCCCTGACCTCCAGGTCTTACCTGCCCAGGTGCCGCCGACAGGTGTGCAGAGGCTGGGATCACCACCTCCCACCAAAATGGCCAGGGAAGCCCGGGAGGAGCCGGACAGAGAGGGCAGCAGCTCACCCTGGCCCCGCGCAGCTCCTTTTATGGCTCCCGCCGGGCAGGGCCCCACCCTGGGCCGGCCGCACCCTCGCGCCCGGCGAAACCCAAGAACTCCAGGAACTGGGCTGTTGGCACTGTTTATTTGCTTCATCGGGGCCTCGTCACACATCAGAAGCGGAGGGCAGCAAGGGCACTTGAGCGGAGGCTCGAGGCTCGAGGGGCTCGGGCAGATTCCAGGGAGGAAGAGAGGGCCCCATGGCCACTGCCCAGGCCACCCGCAGAGACCACCCCTCCTCCCAGCTGCCGGAGGGGCTCCATGAAGCCAGGACCCCAGCTCCCGTCCAGCACGGTCCCTGCGGTCACCCTGTAGCAGCTGACCGCTGGCCAAGAGAAGGCCCGAGGGCGGGCCCTGGGCTGGAGGCCTGTCCGCCAAAGCCAGCGCTCCAGGAGAGGGCTGTGAGAGTGGGCAGGAGCGTGCCTCCGGGGCCTCGCAGGGCCGTCCCGGGGCAGGGAGCCCCTGCCACATCCAGTGAGGGCCGTGAGCAGGCCCACCCTGGGCTGGGTGGCCCACAGGGTCTCTGGCTCCAGCCAGGGAGACCCCCCGGCCCAGAAATGCTCCCAGCCCAGCAGAGCTGGCAGGTGGGGCGGACTTCTTGGGTCGGGTGAGGGGAACCCAAGACCCTGGTCCAAGCAGGCTGGACAGGAGGCCAGGAGCGGCCACTGGGGTCCCCAAATTAGCACCAGGAGGAAGGAGGTCCCAGTGGGGGGGCAGAAACTCAGGACAAGAGCAGCTCCTGTGGCCCTGGTGCTGGGGGCAGCTCCCAGACCCCAGCCCTCCCGGTCTAGGACACAGCCCAGGGGTCACAGACCCCTCCCCATGGGGCCCATCCCCCCAGTCCCCGCCCTACGTGCCACCGTCCACTGGCTGGGCCTGTGGGGGCACCTGTCAGGCTGAGATGTCCAGAGGAGCCCGTGCTGCATGCTAAGACCTCCAGCCCCGTCAGAAGCGTGGCCTCACCCCAGGCCCAGGGATGGGGGCCAGCGCCTTTGGCAGGGCCCTGAGAGTCCCACGGCCAGGCCCCGGGACCCCTCCGCTCCTGGTCCCCTCAGACACTCGTGGGAGGTGGCAGGAAGGCACAGGCGGCGGCCTGAGGCCACACCGACCAGGACCGGGTGGGCGCGAGCCCCGTCGTGAAGCTGCCGCGGTCGGGGGTCCCCGCGGGGGGAGCAGGCCGGCCCGTTTCTCTGCACCAGTGCCCGGCTCGGGGTCCGGGCTGAGGGCGGGGGGTGCCGGCGGGCGGGGGCCGTCCCTCCTCCAGTGAAAGAAAACTCCAGGGACGTGGAGCCACTCGCAGGTCCTGGGCCCGTGAGGTCTGGGTGCAGGGTGGGCGGGCGCCGGGAGGGGCCGGGCTGGCGGGAGTCTGGTGTGGAGGGGGGGCCAGGGTCTGGGGGCCGGGCCGGCTCACATGACGGAGCAGCATTTGCAGCGCTGCTTCTTCACGTCCAGGTCCTGGGGGTCGCTGGCGGTGGCCTCGGGCCCCACCTGGTTCTCCTCCCTGGCGCCTGCAGCGGTGCCAGGGGGCTCGGCGGCACTGCCATTGGGCGGGGCGGGCTCCTGGGTCTCGGCGGGCTCCTGGATGACCACCAGCTCGGCCGTGATGGCGTCCTGCAGACCCAGCACCTTCTTGGTCTCGGCCTCATCCTCCACGTTCTGGTAGCCCATGAAGATCATGGTGACCGGGGGCTCCTGGCCGGGCTGGGTGCCCGGCGGACCCGAGGTGGCCTCGCCAGGCTGAGCCTGCACACCGGGGATCTCGCGCCGGGCAGGCGTGGACCGGATCGCCTCCACGGGCCCCCCGGCCTCGGCTGCCCCAGCGGTGGACCCCGCCTCGCTCAGAGCGGCCTCGTCTGCTTTGTGGAGGAGCTCGTCCACCTCGGAGGAGCTCAGAGGGTGGACGCCGTCCTCGGCGGTGCCGTCCAGGGCGTGGACAACTGCACAGGGAGAGACAGAGGTGTGAGTGGGCTGCCCAAGGAAGCAGATTCCCTGACGGACCGACAGCTAGAGCCCTCAGGCTGTGGACGCAGCCAGCGGGTGCCTCTGAGGCAGCCTGGGAGCCAGGGACGGGACGTCACCATCTGGCATTTCCACATTCACAGCCAGCCAGCTCCCGGGCAGTCACCTGGCAAGGCAGGCGACACAGTTTGGACCTGGAATGTCCCCCAAAGGCTCCTGTGCTGAGGGCTTGGTCCCCAGTGAGCAGTGTGCTGAGGGGGGTCTCCAGGAAGAGGGTGGACATGCGGGGATCACTGGGGTGATCCCYGGAAGGGCCCACAGCTGGAGGGATCATGGGAGGTGGTGGAAGTTGGGGAGGGAGTCCTTGGTCTGTCCTGTCCCCTTCCCTCTCTCCCTCTCTGCCTCACCTCAGGCCCAGAGCCATGGAGCTRCTGACCAGGGGCTGAAACCCCTGAACCGTGAGCCAAAATAAATATCTCCTCCTCTCAGCTTTTTTCTCAAGTCAATTGTCACAGCAGCAGAAGCTAACACAGAAGTAACACAGTAGGCCTGGGGTTTTCTTCCCATTGTAAAGATGGCAAAAAGGAGAGTTTATAAAAGGGAAGTATCTAGCCCCGGTCACTCTGGCAGCCAGGGCCAGACCCGGTTGCTCCTGGCCGTCTGGTCCTGGTGTGCAGGGTCCACACCCCGGGGGCAGGAGGTGAGCGCAACAGGGATTCCCAACTCTCTGGTCTCTGTGAGCCTAGGCCATTCGGTCTTCCCTCCCAGAGGCACCTGGACGGCCATCCTGTCTCGTGACAACTGTACCGTGCTCCCTGAGGACCAGGCTTCAGCCCCAGCAGGGCCTGTGGCCATGGGCGACACCAGCCRCAGACCAGAGACCTGCACCCCCTCCTAGGAACCAGCTGCCCAGGGTGGCACCTGGTCCTGACCCCGGGCGGGGGTCCTGCACCCGGATGCCAGGAAAGCTCTCAACGAGTGGCTGAGGGTCTGGGAGAGGTCCCTGCTCCCGGGACAGAGGGTGGGGTGCACACTGCCCTGAGGCAGGATGTGAGCCCCAGGCTGCCACGGAACGGATCCACTTCCATCCCCAGCAGGCAGAGTCCAGGGTGGCAGGTCTGGGGTCCCTGGGGGTGGGGCAGAGGCGGGGGCAGGCCACGTGGAGCTGGGTGGGGTGGGCAGGTGGGGGTGCCACGTGCCCCTTCTCACCCAGGAGCGCCTGCCCCAGGCCACAGGACCACAGCTGGGGCTGAACCAGGCCTGCCCTCATCCGACACAGGCTGGCACCAGAGACGCCCCAGTCACCGCTCCTCCAAGCACCCCGGGCCTTGGCACCAGAGCCTTGCGGAGGCCCTGACACCACTCGGGCAGCCCCGGTGGCTCTGGTGACAACTGCAGYGCTGGTGAGGCTGAGGAACACGGAGCCTCCACCCCACCAGTGGGGAGCCCCACGGCACTGGGGCCCGGAGGCCAGAAGTCCCCACCAGCCAGCCCTCCCGAGCCCAGACGGGAAACGGACACCCTGCCACACTCCACGGAGACTCCTGCCCAGAGGTGCAGGCAGCCAGGGTCTGCAGGGGACCCAGGGACACATGGCCTGGCCACCTGCAGTGCACTCCCTCGGCCAGGGCAGGAGCCAGGGGACACTGCAGCGTACCGACCCTGGGAGCCCCCGTCAGGAGCCTGTGACCCAGCTGCAGCGTGGAGAGACCCGAGGAGCTGTGCTCAGTGACAGCCAGACACACCGGCCACACCCTGTGACCAGTGACAGGAAGGTCCAGAGACAGACTGGACCTGGGGTGCAGGGCCGGAGGGACGGGGGCTGCTGGAGGGGCTGGGCGTCCCTGTGGGGGCAGGAGTGCTCCCCATGAACTATGGACCTTCCACGTCTCTCTTCCGAGATGACATTCCGTGACCTGTGACTGGATCCAGAGGGACCAGGGCTTTCCAGGCCCCTCCTCCTGGGACCCTGCCTCCTGGTGGCATCCCCGGCACCTGGTCCCTCCTGCCCCTGGAGCTCCCCTGGTTAACGCCTGACTGTTCTTTGTGGTGCTGGGTATGGAACGAGGCCCTCCTGCCCGCTGGGCCAGCACTGACCACTGGATACCACCCCCCAAAAGGCACCTGGAAACCAAGTCAGATTCCAGCCCCTCCCTGCCACACCTGGGGCTCCTGGAGTCCCTCTGGCCCAGTCCCTCGGCCCCCCCAGGCCTCTGCCCACACCGAGGCCCTGCTGGGCACTCCTTCCTGCCCACTCCGGAGAAGCCCCACCAGCCCCAGGCGGAGACCCCCGAGGCCCCGGAACATCCCTGGGTCTTCCAGGAGTTTTGTCACCATAAGATCACTTAAAGGGTGACCAGGCAGGTGGCCCAGGCCTGTCCTCCCAGCTGCTCAGGAGGCGGAGGGAAGAGGGCACAGATTCCAAGCCAGCCTGGTCGCCCTACTAAGGCCCTGCCTCAGACCGAAATGGAAAGGGCTGGGGCCTGATCTGTGGGAGAGCAGCCCTGGGTTCCACCCCCAGAACTGCAAAATAAACACATTAATCAGTCAATTAAAATAAACAAGTGCAGCGGGGCACAGAGCGCACACCTAGGATCATCCCAGAGGCTCTGGAGGCCGAGGCAGGAGGATTGCAAGTTTGAGACCAGCCTCAACAACTTAGGGAAACCCTGTCTCAAAATTAAAAATGTGGGGCTGGGATGTGGTTCCATAGCAGAGCTCCCCTGGATTCCGTCCCTCGTACCAAAAATAGTTTAAAATAAAGTAAAATGAATAAGTGAACAGCGAATGGGCTCCGGAGGGCTGGGCCGCACCCCCAGAGCTCGGAAGGGGAGTCTCCTGAGGGCTCCCACTCCAGCCGCAGGTCTGCAACAAGCCCGTGGCAGGGTGGGAGCCCTGGGCCGGCTGGGTGGGGCCCGCACCGGCTCTGGCTGGAGGCCGGCAGGTGGGGGCGTACCTTTTGTCTCGTCCTCGTAGACCTTGATGCCCTGAGGAAGCGGCTCCCGGGGGAGCAGCGTGGTGCTGGACAGCACCCGGGTCTCCCCTGTCACCTTGTCCTTCTCCACAGTGATCTCAACTGAGTACATGGCTGCCAGGAGAGGCACGGTTATGCCGATCCCGCCCTCCCTCGTGCCCTGGGGGCAGCCGCCAAGCCAGGGGGGGCAGCGCAGAGCAAGCAGAGACGGTGCTGGTGCCGGGTGCGAGTGCCGTGCGGACCTGGCCTCCCCCCGCTCCACAGCCTCCGTGCCTGCCGGTGCCCAGGGCTGGGGCCCGGTTCCTCTGCTGGGCCTTCAAGGCCCGTCCTGCCTTCAGCCCCCGGCCCTGGTCCTCCCCTCTGCACCTCGCGTCCCGCTGGGCCACCAAGCTCATCTCCACATCCAGACTCCACCCCTCCCGTGGAGCCCAGCTCAGCCTGACCTCTGTCCACCCAGACCCTCTGAACATCTTGCTTCCCCGACCAGCTGGGCCGACTGCAGCCAGCCTCGCTGCTGCCCCTGGACAGACCTCAGCCCCAGCCCCCAACCTGCCCAGGCAGGAGGAAAAGGTGCCCAGTGCTGGAGCCAAGGAGCAGCCCTGCAGACCTCGGCTGCAGGGACCCCGGAGCCAAGGTCCAGGACCTCTCGAGCCTGCTGTCCCTCAGCCTGGCTCACCTGGGGTACCCCAAAGCCCTCAGGCCTCAGGGTCATCTGGGTCTCCTCCTCCCACCTGGCCTCTGGTGCTCAGGCCCAGCCCAGTCCTGGGTTCCACTCTGCTCCAGGGGCCTCATCCAGGCCCAGCTCTGCTCTCCAGGAGGACCTGCCCTCGGCTCCGGAGCCCCGAGCCCAGGCCCCACTCACCTGCCCAGCATCTGCCCCTGGGCTTCCACCCAGCCAGGGCGGCTCTGTCCTGGGCCTCTCCCCTCTCACCCCACTGCAGGCTCCTGGCCCAGTGGGGCTCCAGCCCCCACATCCCACCTCCTGCACCGTCGTCCCACCCTGGGCTTGCAGCCACCCCTGCCCTGGGCCTCAGCCTTCCCGTGCCCGGTGAGTCTACGTTCTGTGCTCTGTGTTCCTAAATTGTAGAGTGAGCTGCCCCCAGTCTGGGTCCCTCCTGCCTGGCATACAGCAGGTACCGAATAATGCTGAACGAGTGACTGTTACTTCATCTCTTGTCCCTGAGTGGCCGAGCATCCCTGTCCCTGGACAGCGACTTCCAGGGCCACCCACACTGTTGGGCAGGTTATGCACTGCACAAAGCCAAGGGCCCAAGGAAAAAGTGGGGGGTACCTCACCTGGGGGCCACAGGGCTGGTCTCACTGGCACAGGCCCTCAACGCACCCTGCACTCTGAAATGCTCCCCTTGGCCTCCTGCCACCTTTCGGAGAGCTTCAGCCCCCCTGAGACCCCCTCTCTCTCAGGGCACTGTCACACCCTAGTCCCCCCCATAGATCTTCCTTCTCTTCTCAGGACTTGTCACTGTCTAGTCCTGTGTGGGAGCAGGCCCTGGGTGCCAGGCCCTGGGTGCTCAGTCCCCATCTGGGTGGCAGATGGGGCATGGCTCCCCCTGTCTAACCACACAGGACTGAGCCTCACCTGGGGGCTGCCTCCAGGATGAGGTGCCCCCTCTCACATGGTCCCGCGGCCCGAGGCCCAGGGGCCAGTGGGATTTGCAGCCAGCGCCCTCAGCCGTGGAGCGGGTGCTGGCCTGTGCCCCCCCCCAGGGGCCACCTTGAGGTTAAGAGGTACAGAAGCCAGGGCACTGGGTTAAAGTCGCCATGCGCGGGGCCCGCCTTCCTGGGGAAGCCTGGCCGGGGTGTGGCCCAGGGCCAAAGCAGAGGATGCCGGAGGCCCACCCCCAGCCCAGAGCCTCAGCCTCAGTCCAGACCCCACCCGCGTGACCACTGCCCACTTCCGACCCGGCCAGGGCAGGTCTGGGTCACCCCCACCCCACCAGGCCCCGAGGACTGAGCTGGGGTCTGGTCGGCCGGAGCCTGGGCACCACCCACCTGCCTTCACCATGGGGGAGCCTCCGACGGTCCGCACAGGGGTGTTGGACACCTGCTTCTCTGCTGGGCAGGCAGGGTGGAGAGAGGGCGGAGAGAGAAGGTCACACAGCCCTCCACAGGCTCGACTCACGGCCGGTGCATGCACCCAGCTCCTGGGCCCCTTCCATGCACCTGGACCCTGATGCACACAGAGCCCCCCCCAAAGGAAGTGCCAAGTGGGTCCTCCTGTCTCAGCTCCCAGGACTCTCACAACGGCCCGAGAGGCTGCCTGCATTCACTTTGATTATTAGTTCTACAGTGGGTCCAGGAGACCCTCTTCTCATGAATAATTAATCAACACACCACAGATCAGGCCTCAGAGATGGCGGCTGCCCCGTCCACGGGGGCTGCCCTGGTGCTTTGCAGGGGGACAGGCCCCCCTAAAACAGGATTTAAAAACGGACTGGTGTTTCACCACTCACCGAGCGTGGACTTATTGAACCTCATGCAGTGTCATGCTTACGTCTAGACTCTGTCCCACATCAGGACAGGTGAGTGGCCCACACTGTCCTCCAGCGGCCACCACGTGGGAGGACCGCTCGGCTGGACGGCCTCAGCAAGCAGGGACCCACCTGCCACGGCCGGGTCTCAGTCCCGCGGCCTTGGTCTCTAGGGCAGGATTTCTGGCCCCACGTTACAGACCCAAGGACAGGCCGACCCGCCCACCCACCGGACAGTGGCCGGGGCCCCTCCCGCGGGCGTTGTGAAGCCGAGACCCGGCAGGCAGAGCAGGCGCCCCCTCCCGCCCGCAGCCAGGGGGCGCGCGGCCCCGCCTACCTTTGGGCGTGCCCGGCGGGGTCTGCAAGAAAGAGGCAGAGGGTCAGCCAGCGCCCGCGCGGCCGGCCGGCCGGCGCCCTGTTTCCCGTCCCTTCTCTCCCGGCCGTCACCTCCCCTGGCATCGGGGCCGGAAATGTGGGAAATGGGGGGGTCACCCCGCCCCCGCCTTCTGGTCTCCCACCACTCCAGGGCTCCACTCCCGCGACCACTTCTGTGGTGGTCTTCCCTGCCCAGCGGCCGTCTTCTGGCTGCTCCTTCACGCCTCACCTGAAAGGCGGCTCATCTTTCCCCACAGGGGCTCCTGGGTCTCTGGCCCTCCAACCACGTCCCCCTCTCTCCAGTGGGCAGGGGCCGGCTCCCAGTCTCCAGGAGGAGGAGCAGGAGCTTTGGGCATGCCCACTGCCCTTGAAGTGGCTGTCCTGGTCAGGGTCTGCCTCTCCCCAGGAAGCCCGCAGGCAGCACCTCTGCAGTCTGCCTGCAGAACTCCTACTCCACCTTCAAATCCCACACCCTCCAGGGAGCCTGCCCAGCCTCTGGTGGATCACAGGCTTCCTGGGGTCCCCCGCCCCTCTTCCTGGTCTCCCCAACCAGGCATGGTCAGCAGGGAGGGCTGCAGACCAACAGCCCCAGAGGACACAGCTGCAGCTCCCTGGGTCAGGGGCCATACCGACCCCACAAGACAGGGGTGCAGGGAAGGAGCAGGCCCCAGGCCTCTGAGCCCCCTGGGAGAGGAGCTGACCCTGACTTGGAGGTCTGTCTTAACATGTCTGTGCCAGGGCAGCTCCCAGAAGTCAAGGCCAAGCCAGATGGTGGCCTGGGGCCAGGCTCTCTCCACCTCCTTGGGCCTGGGATTCGTCTCTCATCCCATGGGACACTGCTCCCGCCTGGAAGGGCTGTCCAACACAGGGAGTGCCCAGCCCAGGCGGGGGCTCAGAAGGTGCAAGGAGAGGGAATCCATCAAAACCTCCCTCCCGTGGGTCTGGCTGCGTCTAGGCTTGGCCACCACCCCCTGAGCCCTTGCCAGGTAGCCAGCTAGTATTCTAATAGCTCTTGCATCTTACAGATGGGGAAACTGAGGCTCAGAGAGGCCAACCACATGTCCCAGGCTGCACAGCTGGGCCCCCAACCCCAGCACCTGCTGGGATCTGTGCTGGGGCCACTGGGCATCTGCAGAGGAAGGGGTCAGAGCAGGGATCTGCCCACTCATTCCTCTCACCTGTTCTGGGCTGCACACCAAGTCCCCCCGGGGCTGCTCCTTGGCTGGGCTGGGGGCCAGGGTCCGGGCTGGACTGGACACTGCCTTGTCCTCTCTCAAGGGGGCAGGGGCCGGCTCCCCGTTCTCCAGCACGTCGATTTCCTTTTCCAGCCTGAGGAGGGGCAGGTGTGAAGGCCTCTGTGTGCCGGGGCCCTTCGGGCACTCTCGGCCGAGGACCAGCTGGTTCTGACTTTTCCTAACAGCCCTGCACCACGGTGTTCTCGTCACACCGCTCGACAGTCGGAGAAACCGAGGTACAGCACAGGGTCACCGGCCAGCAAGGAGCCACCGGATTCGCCCCGGGGCTGGCTCGGCACCTCCCTTCACAGTTGGCTGCAGACTTCCCCGTTTCCACTCAAATCCATTTTTTTTTTCCCCACAGGAAACATTCTCTCTTCAGGGACAATGGAAAAAAACGTCACTTTCTGAGAGTCAGGAGATAATGGTACAAATAAACCCAGTGAAAACCAAGCCAGGGTGGGAAGCACAGCGCAGCTCAGGGGGCTGCCAGGCCTGCCACCGCTCCCCAGGCCACCCCCAGGCCACCCCCAGGCCACCCCCAGATGCACCCCCAGATGCACCCCCAGGCCACCCCAGGGCCACCCCCAGGCCATCCCCAGAGTCACCCCCAGGGCCACCTCCAGGCCATCCCCAGAGCCACCCCCAGGCCACCCCCAGGCCACCCTCAGGGCCTCCCCAGGCCACCCTCAGGGCCTCCCCAGGCTGCCCCCAGGGCCAAGACACAAAGACCCCCAGGGCCTCCCTGGCTGTGCTCCTGCCTGCAGGGGGCGCCTGCCAGCCCACCGGCCAGGACCAGGCTGAATGAGCAGCTGCAGGGATCCCTGCCTCCCTGCTGGGGAGGGGAGGAGGCCCCAGGAGGGACCCCACATGCCTATTGTCACCACCCACCACCTGGGGCCAATCCCCCCACGCTTCCTCTCAAACCCGTCGGTCAGGACTCTGGCCAGCTGAGGTCCAGCACAGGGGCCCTCTGTGCTGGGCAGGCTCCCGCCTCTCAGGCCCCTCCCCATTTTGGTCATTTCTCTCTTCCCCGACACCATCACTCCTGCCTGCCCGGAAACTCCAGGCGTTCTGTCCCAGCAGGGAAGGACACTGCCCGCCCCGCCCGCCCCACCCGCCCCAGGCTTCCTGCAGGCCTAGCTGCCCAGGGCCCAGCACGGCAGGACCACGCAGAGAGCCAGGAGGAAGTGCAGTCCAGTGCTGGGGGCCACATCCGCCTCCTTCCCAGCCTCTTACACCTGGGGCTGTTGACAGCTGGTGGGGGTCCCTAGCCCAGAGGCCAGCAGGGCAGCCTCAGTCCCCACGGCCGGGAAGCCTGCTGCTCCAGCTCCAGGGCTGCCCAGTACCCCCAGGACAGCCCTCGGGGCTCTTCCCTGCCCAGTACCCCCAGGACAGCCCTCGGGGCTCTTCCCTGCCCAGTACCCCCAGGACAGCCCTCGGGGCTCTTC